TAGAAAACTACTTTTAATCCCTTGGACGAGCGAAGAAATATATTCACATTTATTTTTTTCTTTTCTATATAAATTTCTCATTATACTGATATGCACACAAACGTCAAAACACGTGACAGGAATGAAATTTTCATAGCAAATATTAATAATAAATGCATAAGGTATGTAAACGGTACGAATCCGTTACAAAAACAACAGACAAATAAAAAATAACAACAACCGAAAAAAAATAAAACTTCAATGACAGCTGTCATAATGACGTAACGTCACGCACGTCACTTTGACAGGTGTCGCGTACGGGGAAATAGACGTGAAGTCATTTTGACAGATGAAGTTAGTTTTACTTTCTTTTTTTAAACAATATTAGGTTTAGACAGTCAGGCTGGTGATTAACTGTTCGCATAGTTTCCCATATTCTCTCTGGTCGCCGGAAATCCGTCGCATTTTCAAACCTTTCTTCTCCATGGCTTTGTTTTCGCACAAAACAAGCTCAATTTGGATGCCGCCAGAGTATTCTAAATTGAGATACCCTGTCAGGGTTCCATCGCCATCTTTTTGGTCGGTTTCAACAAATATACTCTGTGGTGGAACCCTGGTGTTTATCGCTTCTTTTAGTAACTCGACTATTCTTTGAGAATCGAGTTTGGAACAGACTGTCGATAAAGTCACCTCATAATATTCTTGTACACACGACACCTTTTGGGGACTTAGAAGTATTGGAATTTTCTCCTCTGGCCTACAAATTTCTGTTAGTCGCAAATCCATTGTCGACCTCTGTAGTTTCTCTATCTCTTCGCTAGGTGGCGTGCCCTCCTCATCACACTTCTCTAAGCACTGCCTACTATTATCTCTAGACATATACACATCTTCATAATATTCTTTAACCTCCCCCAAAGTCCCCTGTGCAGAGAATGACGATCTCGGAGTTTCCCCTTTTTCGGAAAAGCTGCCTCTACCGAAATCGCTTCGCTCAGAGAATGAGGACCGCCCAAAGTCCCCCCTTTCAGAGAAAGACCCCCGATCAGAAAAAGAGAATGACTCGCGATGTTCCGAGAAGCTGCCTCGATTCTCGCTAAATCCGGAACTTATAGAGACAATATTTGAGTAGATGGACTGTATATTTTGTTCGCAATTCGGTGATACATTAGCTGAATCGTTGCTTAGAGAATCGTCGCTAAAACCTAAAGATTTATCGCTCCCTCGGCGCGGATATTTCATTTCTTCGCTCAAAAATTTTGCCGTTTCATCGACACTTTCCTTTGGTGACTGCATTTCGGCGTCTTTATCTATTATTGGCTCTTCTTTTGGTTCAACCGGCTCTGTTTCCTGGCTGACCTTCCTACCAATACCTTTGGTTATTGACGGCCTATCATCCAAATCCGAAGGCTCAGAGATCACGAACTGGGGTAACGCGTACTTCGTATTTCCAAGCTATCCATGCTATCTTCAGAAGACGACGCTACCAGAGTAATTTCAGACCCTAAGCAATCTGTTAACTGATCTGAGGATGTGTTGGAGTAAACTGGGTACATACCTCATGTTCTCTTGAAAAACCTTGTCTAAGTGGCTTCCGTTTCCAATTTCTTCCTGGATCATGTCGAGTGGAGATCCAGGGTTTGAGATTGGGGAGTTGTTCAGAGATCTATGGTCACCATGTGCAGTTGGGAGTGGACTAGAGGATGGAGTTGCTGGTACTGGCCTGTATCCATATCCACATTACTTCTGAGGTCCAAAGGAGTCGCTGAAGCCTGAGGAGTCCCTCTCGTTATAGATCCAGTATGTAGATAGCTTAGACCTTCAGTTATCTGGTGGAGTGGTGACCCTGGGCTGGCGGGTGATGTATGCCCGGACAGAAGAGCGAAGTTGTTGTATGAGTGGATGGATTTGAGGATCTCTTGCGATATGTTCACGTGTGGGGAGTAGAGCGCGTGGAGGTTTATGCCGATTTTCATCGCTAGGTCCTGTTGGAGAAGAAATTAATTTAAGTAAATTCATATGAAGTGTGGTTTGATACTTGGATCTGAGTAACTGTTATTGAAACTATTGATGATGATATTCTCCGTAGAACCGCTGTTCGATCACATGTAGTGAAAAATGCATAATAAAGGCTGTGTTATGAGGTTGCGTCGTAATTGCTCCCTTTCTGAAAGTTTTTTTTAAATAAAGTAATATAGAGCACATTTTGATTTTCAATGTTACACAAATTTGTAGATCCCAAAATTCGAAGTGAGAGTATGTTATTATGGATTTACCAACAAAAAATGACAGTCTATCGGTCAGTCCTCTAATGAAGCTTTTTCAATCAGGATTACAATACAATTCTTGGTTACATTGTTTCGTTGGTTCAATTATGTGAGAACAATGTAACACTAAAATCCAGTCTAAGGCATCGAAAAAAACCTTAATTACAGTAAATGATATAGTCAGTCTCGGTTGACAGCGCCCGTTCACGAAAATGACACGTACACCAGCACCGCCCAACTCAACCATATTGTAGGGAATAGAGCGATCCATTGCACGTGCCACCGCCAATGAGACTTTTGAGTGAGCATGACAACTCCAATCTGACTCGAATGCATTCTACGACCACTAGGTTCTTTAAGCCAAGCTAATCGAGGAGATTTTTTTTTATTTAAGGGGGGAAAATCATCGAATGCCTGCTCCCGCCTGGGTGAGGCGGAAGGGAGTGTCAGACTCTTACTGACTAAAAACCACCCCATTCCTTCTCCTGCACGTCGAGCCGGAGCCCGGTTACCCGTTAGGTTCTCCGCGACTAATCGAGGAGATAGCAAATCTTAAATGAAGAGGCGGTATTCTAACAGTGGACTACGACAGACTACTTGATCTATTTCTCACCTGTGTTAGAACGAGCGTGGTATGTAATTCCATGGCGGCGGGGTCTGTCATAATGTTCCTGACGGCCATCAGTACGGCGCGCGCTGCCTCAGGCGACACTGTGTTCAGGTCTAAGGGAGACGCCGTGCCCACGCATTGGTGGATAGGAGAGCCTGGAACATTGGGTACAATAGGGTAGATGCCTAATTTTTATTTCAACGTCCGTCTGGTAGATTATTTTAAATCAATAGACACGTATTTTTTATTTTCTTACAGAAACGTATACTGTCTAAATAGATTAAGTTCATTAGGTTGGCAACATTTTTCACGCACATAATCATACTTCACACACATTCAAATTATGTTCATACAGTCCACTCATCTAGAATAAATTATAAAGAAAGTTGTGTGCAATAAATATCCGTTGAGTAAAGACGTATTATAAAGTTTTATTTCACCAAACAAGCTGATATAGAGTGAAACACTTTCGTAGTAAACATTATACTTTCGACGATATATTGATTTGAAATGTCGGTGACGTCACTTCTATGTACATTTTATACGTAGAAATAACGTTTTAGCCCCCACTCCTAAACTTTGATTCGTTTTATCTAAGTATTGTTTTATTATACGACAAAATAAAAAATACGCGTCTAATGTTTTTTCCGTTTTTTCATTACCTAACTGACGGACTAAATAAATTTTAATTTTTACACCCTGTCATCATCCCTATTAAGAAATTATTTATGCAACGTCTAGATTTCATTCATGTTGCATGTACATATCACTAGCTTCTGCCCGCGGCTTCGACCGTCTATATAAAAGTCTAAAAGTTGCCTATATGTATATGTTATTCCAGACCATAACCTACCCCTGTTTCTAATTTCATCCTGATCGGTTCAACCGTTTTGCCGTGACTGAGTAACAAACATACATACAAACAACTTATAAAATTTCGCATTTAAAGTAAGAAGTAAGATTCATATAGTATGCATAGTCCATCCATACCTCGTCCATGAACCTTTCAGTCAACAACTTAAACACAAAAATCAACATCCATAAGTTAAGTTATAAGTTATGCATATACTAGGCCAATGTTTATTCAGATCCATGCGTTAGTAGTACCTAGTAGCAGTCAGTTAATTAGGCATGGCGTGAAACACATCCTTCACACTAGGCAGTTTTCCTCAGTCAAAATCCAATAATTTCGACTTTTCAATACAAAAGAATATCAAAAAATAATCTCACTTTCATTTCATTAAATCATTCACATTTATCTGACAATTTAAAAAATATATTAAATGCCCGAAAATTAATGATTATGTGTTATCAGTTTTAAAAATATTAGTAAGGTTTGACACTCACCAGGCATCGACGTCCCAGGTGTATGTAGTCTGACATCCGCATGAGGGGGCGAAGCGCCCGGGCCTCCACTACGTCGCTCTAGGCCTCGCTATAATAATAAGAGTTTAAAGTCATTTATTGTCATTTTGTAGTGATTTATGTTATGTGGATGTTCTATTGATGTTTCATGGATATTATATGTGACATAGATGTTTATTAAATGTCTTATTTGGGTTTACATTTATAGGAAGGGTATTTTCTTTGTATATGGATGTTGTGATGTTGCGTAGGTGATGACATTTCAAATACACGAGCATGGATTAGTCATGGAAGATAGAGTGATGTAAATAAACTATTTATCTTTCTTTTTCTAATGCGACGTGAGCGAGTGTGATGTAGTATCTAATTATTAAAGATTTGTGGATGATGCATAAAATGTTTCATGGATGTTGCATGTGTGTTTCATGTATAAAAGAAAGAAAAAAACTTTATTTCACACGCTAAAAACCGGTGACATGTACAGATTATAGTTAGTTCAAGTCTGCGGTGAAATAGGACCAGTTCAGCATGTGCAAGGCAGGGCCTTGAGCTGTTATTCTACTGGTTCCTTAAGGGGCTTGCAGTCGCACAAGCATGTATTTGTTTATTTATACTTTATTGCACACGCAGAAAACAAAATTAAACATTGCAATAGTAATTTAAGTACAATGGGCGGTCTTATCACATGCGGCGATTTCTTCCAGACAACTTTTGGTTGAAATTTTTATGTTGTAAGGATGTTAAACATACCTGTAACTGTTGATATTCCAATCTAGCCGAAGCTATATCGTGCGCGACTCGTGGCGGGGAACATTCAGCGCGACGGACTGGGAGTAGCGCTCGGCGTGCTCACGAGCTGGAAGGTGGGTAAAGTATTATTACATGTTTTTGTTTTAAAAAGGTTATTTTTATTGCGATAGAAGTAATAATGGGCATGACATATTCTGTGTATTTTATTTAAATGAAAATTTATTCGTCATCCATATAGCATTGTGGACATTCTTATGGCAAAACTCGTTTTGAAGACTATTAAGATATTGATTTTTGTTACGATACGATCTGAATTTTACATTTATTTTAAGATCTTTTTTCATACTAATGATATTTTATTGACATGGATTAAAATGACGTGAAAACTGTTTCTTTCAAAAATAATCACTAATTTAAAAAGTGTACTTAAAAGACAACTTAAGTTAGTCGCAAAAAACAAACTACACAACACACACACACATACAAAGCAGTGCACACACAACTACATAAAACACACACACACAAAAACTCGCATGCAAATATACAACTACTACACAAACACACACGAAAAATGAAAAAAATATCTATAAAAAAATTACCTTCGTTGACAATGTACTGAAAATACAATTAATTTCAGTATTTCAATGTTAACATGAAAAAAAAACGGTAAAATGTGTGTAAATATTATGTTATTATGATACCCGTTACCCATTCCCATATTCTCCCCAATCTATGAATACCCAATAATTCTCAAATTCCTAGTCCCCAAAAGGCTTGTAACCCACTTTTAATACACTAATTTTTTACACTTTGTAACACACTTTTAATTTGGTGTTCCAGGTGTCCATGGGCGACGCCGATAGCTTACCATCAGGTGATCCGTCTGCTCGTTTACCGGGTTATCCCATAACAAATCCCGTAACCCATTAGTTATTTACACGACTGCGACAAAATTTAAAGGAACCCTTAAGCTAGGTGACATTTACCATCATTTTTGAAACATAATAATACTTTTTTGATCACTTTAATCCGAGATTTCTTGCTTGACAGTCGCTCTTTAATGTAAGTCACTGTTTTATCGCATAAGCCGGTAATCGAGCATACGGATCACCTGATGGTAAGCAATCAGTGCCGCCCGTGGACACGGACAACACTAGAGGAATTACTAGTGCGTTGCCAGCCTTATCTAATTTACCTTCCCCTTAAAATGATATTCTAATCTAATCATAAAAATGTTAAAAACCCTTAGGGCCGATTTTTGCAACGCCGAATAAATCTTTACTGAGTTTGAACATTTGACAATAGGGATGATGACAGGGTATGAAAATTAAAAATGTAATTAGTCCGTAAGTTAGGTAATGAAAAAATATTGGACTCGTATTCTTTTATTTTGTTGTATAATAAAATGATACTTAGATATAACGAATCAAAGTTTAGGAGTGGGGGCTGAAACGTCATTTCTACGTATAAAATGTACATAGAACGTCACGCGACATTTCAAAACTATTCGTTTCCGTAAAATTAATAAAAATACGTGTGTAATGTTTTTAAATAATCTACCAAACGGACATTAAAAAAATTAGTCATCTACTCTATTCTTCCATACTGAAAACTGTGAAATGTCAATTTTATTCTGCATTTAAGAATTAACTGATGATTGAAAAATCGGCCCTAATTTGCTAAGAACCCGTCACCTAAGATATAAAAAAATCAAAAAACAAAAATTACCCATTTCTTGCACAGTAGCCAACATTTGTAATTTAACTCGTTGGGGTCCAGAATATTTCCTTTGTTTGGTATTATATTGTCCAGAATTGTAATTATTACTGGTTACCGGGATTGGGGTACCGGCGGTAATCGAACCTGAGGCATTTTGGTAATTTTGCCCCCCTTGATTCATCGGGGTGGGGTAATTTGGGGTCATTTGTGACCCCTGGTTCATAGGAGTTGGGTAGTTCGGGGTCATTTGTGACCCTTGGTTCATAGGAGTTGGGTAGTTCGGGGTCATTTGTGACCCTTGGTTCATAGGGGTAGGGTAATTTTGGCTCATTTGCGCCCCTTGCGTGGGGTAATTTTGACTAGTCCCTGTTAAAGGACTGACTGTTAGGTTCGGGTAGGAGCTTTGGTTCATTAGAGACCCCTGATTTTGCGGGGGTGTCTGATACCCTTGGTTCATTGGCGTCACAGGAACTTGAGGGTTTTGGTATGTGTTACTAGTGAACGAATCCTGATTTGAAAAGAACGCTTGTTGTATAGGGGTCCCTTCAGTGATAGACCGCTTTTTCATAGGCGTCGGTATGAAAGATTCTGAATTAAAAGAGCTTTGGTACATTGGCGTGTCAACGGCCTGGTTTATCGCGGGATTCGAGAATGACCCTTGCTGACCACCGATAAAAGACCCCTGTATAGGAGGATTTTGGAACGATCTGCGGCCATGTATGACTGGTTGGTTTTGGTACGGTGTTATTGGCGTACCATCTGTTATAGACCCCTTTTTGATGGGCGTGCTCGAGAAACAAGGGTTCGTATTTTGATAGTTTTGGCTCATAGGACCCGATTGGAATGGGTTTTGGTTTATCGGCGTCCCATCAGTTATTGACCCTTTTTTAACAGGGGCGTTAGAAAACGCATTTTGGCTCATAGGGGTCTGTTGATAGGAACCAGATGTATTTTGGAAATTGGGGTTAATAGGGGTCCCACTCGTAATGGAACCGAAATTATTCGCATTAGGGGTATTATAGGAACAGCTAGGAATACTCCCAAAACTATTGGAGCTGAAGCTGCCAAAGTTCTTTGTGTTATCGTAAGTTGGGGTCCCAGACATGATCGAACCTTGGTTTACTGGGGTCCCACTGGTTATAGACCCCACATTTTGGGTCACATTTGAATTAAATTGCCCCATAGTGGGGGTGAAAGGGGATACAGCTTGGCTTATGGGGGTCCCAGACATAATAGACCCCTTAGTGCCCATTATACTGCCTTGTGGAATAGTTTGTAAGACGGGTTTCATGGATTTTTGGTTTCCTGAATTTTGGGAGTAATTTGGGGTGCCTGCGGTTATAGAGCCTTGGGTTGGGGATTGGGGGACGGGGTTGGGCATGGGTCCCGTGGGGGTGGGGGGGCTTTGGTACCCGCTTTGGTTCTGATATTGCATTGAAGGTGGCAAATAGTTCCTCTTCATCCGAGCTTCGACCTCCATTACTAATTCTGGGCTAATTACTAAAAAATAATAATAAAAAACAAATAAAAGCAAAAAAAAATATAATTATTTTACAAAATATAGCGAAAAAACTGAAGATGCATTACTACTGAGTCATGCTTAGCTTTTAACTACTTTGGTCAAACTTTAAATGTGAAGAAATGTTGAGTTTTTTAATTTAATCTATCGATTTTTACACTAGAATCCCACTCGGCTTCGTATGAATGCTATTATCTTGACTCTCCCCGTTACCGAGCAATCATTACATGATTGCACGGCTGGAGCGGTGGGTGGGCAACCGGCTGCCGCGCAACCTGTCGCGGGTGCGATTCCCGCACGGAAAAACTCTTTGTGCGATCCACAGATTGTTGTTACGTGTCTGTGTTGAGATGTGTGTGTACTTGGTTTGTACGCACGACACAGGAGGAAATTATATAATATAGGGCAACGTTATAAAAAATATATATATATGGCTTCCTATCGTAGCTTGAAACTAGCCAAGTAACCTCATCGAACGTCGAATTAATATTTAAAAATCTCAACATTTCGTTAAGCAAAAAAAAACATCGTAAAAATATCGAAAAGTCTAGCATACCACATCTAACAATATACTATAAAATACATTTTAAATTCCTAATCCACGATTTTAAAAATACACAATATCTGTTCATACAACAGTAGTCTTAAACATAGAACATAAGGTCTATAATGGTGTAAATGAAAAGCGGTCACCGGTGACCACTATAATACAATTATCAAAAGCAAGCTTGCAGTTGAACGCATTAATTTCGTATCTCATTATGAATTTCATGTAATAGGAATTTCTATTTATATTATATTGTTAGATATTTCAAAATAGTGATTGGATATATTGTTACTTCAATTTTATACTATAGTACTTTGACATCATAAAATCGACTTAAACACAATAAATTTAAGCATTTCTATCAGACTGCTTTAAAAGAAACAAACTAGATTAAAAAAACACTCGAAGGTTGGTCTTTCGGTCTTTTTAGGAGAAGACCGTCTTTTGACGAAAAGACCATGGTATAAAATTGAAGATAACAACAATTTCTATCACTTTACACTCTAACATTGCAAAACATACTACAATTATGGTCTTTTCAGTAGACTTACCCGGCGGTCTTTCGGTGACGGTCAAAAGACCTGTTCTTCTCACTCGTATACTTGTCGTAGAAGACGGTGATGTGCTTTGCTGTTGAAGAAATGACAAAAATTTGGACATTGGTTTTGACAATGATTTAACATTAAAAACTGAATACAATTGTCATTAACATATAAGGTACATTTTAGAACTCCGCTATTGTAGATGGAAATAGTAAACTGAAAATCTTGTTTGTATAATTAAAATCGTAGACCGCATCATCGCTTACCACCAGGCGAGGTAGTGGTCAACGTCGACCCATCAAAATAATGAAAAAAAAAAATCAAGAATTTCATGTCATATTGCTTTTTTCTTTTTAATCAAATTTTTTATTACATAGTTTTCAAATACAATCTCTTAAATCCATATTAAATCGTATAACTACTTGATAAGACCTACAATTTTATCAACCATATAGAAATATTTATAAAATCCGCAGCCTACATACCATAGACCCAGTGCTAGAAGTGACGACGTTGGCGGCGTCCTCCGGCGTCGCCATCGTGTGACGCTTACTACTGCCGCGGTTCATCATGTATCTAGCGACAAATATACATGTTGTAGATGTTATATGATATTATGATGATGATATATGATATGTTTCTTCATAGATTTTAGCGATAATAAATGTCGTAAGGAAAAATTAAATAATGTTACATTTTATCTATGAAAGATTTCATAATATAATCCTATTGATTTAATTTGAAGTTTCATTTTGGTATTTTTTGGCCAATCTAAAAGAAACGCGTTGAGAAAACAGATATGATAATGGTCGCAAAATATATATGTATATGTTTTTTTTGCCACTAGGATGTCTCCTGTGTCGTGTGTACGTGTACAAACATACAAGTTCACATATACACACAGACACGGAACTACAATCTGTGGAGCACACAAACAGTTGTTCCGTGTGGGAATCAAAACCGCAACCGTGCAGCCAATATGATGTCATAACTAGAAATCTTTTATAAAATTCGTAGAAAATTCTCCGTATTAACATCAAAACAAGCAGTGATTTCGACTAATTACAAAAGATTAATTTAATTTATACTTCCAAGGGTAGGTTTAAAAATTAATAAATATGAGTAAGTAAAAATCGCGGGTTACTCACGTGAATATACTGAGAAAAGTTCTACTAGTTTCGAACCACAGAGGGGTTCTTCCTCATGAGCAGCGTGCACGGCCGCGGCGATGTCACGCAGCCTACCCCTAGCCAGTTTATTCACCAGTGTAACCCGCGATTTTTAGTTGATTTAGTGTTTTTATAATAACTATCGTGAGACATACAAAATTAACTAAAAATGTAGGCTGCGCGACATCGCCGCGACCGCGCACGCTGCTCATGAGGAAGAACCCCTCTGTGGCTCGAAACTAGTAGAGCTTTTCTCAGTATATTCACGTGAGTAACCCGCGGTTTTTAGTTAATTTAGTATGTCTCACGATAGTTATTATAAAAACGTATTTGTCTTTCATTTCTGATTTCGACCTCTATTAAAAATTTAGTTTAAATATATAGAGGTATATGAATGGTGTGTAACATCTCACCTGCATAAATTAGTGTTATAAGCTGAGTCGGTATTTTGTTCTTCAGACTGCTCCGCATCTTCGGCTCTGGCGGGGGTCCCGCTGTCTGATACCTATACGGCGATGGAATGAAGATATTAGTATACAGTGTAATTTGACCACAATCTCAGATGGGGTTATGTCGTTTTTGTCAAACAAAGTGATAGGAGGAAATGAACGGTTATTTTATTATTTAATTTTCCATGTCAATTTCAAAATGACGCCCGCGGTTACTCTAAAACTAAAAAAAAAAACAAAAAAGAAACGCGCTTGACCTTGTTTCTTTTAACACAATAAACTTAAGCTTTCATATGAGGTATTTAACTTCAGCATACCTGGACTAATGAACTCTGTATATCACTACATAGTATAAAACAAAGTCCCTACCCGACGGCTGTCTGTCCCTTATGCTTAGATCTTTAAAACTACGCAACGGAAATTGATGTGGTTTTTTTAATAGACAGAGTGATTCTTAAATCACATCAAATCATTTATTTGCACAAAACATGGTAGGTAACAAGATGTTGAATAATATGTTTGTGTACAGCATGTTTTGCCGTGGAACACAGCGCGCAAAAGTATTGTTAAATGAGATACATTAATACGAATGAGTCATTTTACAAATTAGTATTAGATAAATAAGAATTTTATAAAAATGTCAGTCAATCAAAGTGAAGTTAAGGAAGGTTTATATGTATAACTAGCTTTTACCCGCGGCTTCGCTCGCGTCACAAAAGGATAAAAGTAGCCTGTGTGACATATACCAATACACACAGCGCCATCTATACCAATTCTTTTGATTTCCCTCGGGAATATCAAAATTTTTCGAGATAAAAAGTACCCTATTATTTAATCCGGACTTCTACAAACTAACTTTACGTCTGCAAAAATTCAAAGCAATTGGTTTAAAAGTTACGGCGTGAAAGCGGAACAAACAAACAAACAAACAAACTCACCTTTCCCATTTATAATAGTATATATAATAAGGATAAGGATACATGTATATTGCACCCGTGCACAATACAACGAGTTACTATTGCGTTATCGGCCTATTGGGGATTGTTGGGCATTCGGGGATTCAGGAGATAAGGGAGGGGGGTAATTGGGGGGTATGAATGAATGGTGAATGAGTAAATAGAATGTCGGTACGTACGTGGTGCGCGGGCGCGGAGTGGCAGCAGGCGCGGTCGCGGCCGCCCACGTGCGCGCCCCCGTCCGACGCGCGGCGACCGAACGTCGACGCTGGGGGGGGGGGGACAATATATTATTGCTTCCCTTTGAGTACCGTCATTATACACACAATTAAAGAAGAAGAAAATTTAATTTAAGAAAGAAGAACAATAGGTTGCGGTCACCGGTGTCCTCGCGGTGTTTGACAGTTTAATAATACTATAATGTCTTAGTGTTCCAGGTGTCCATAGGCGACGCCGCTTGCTTACCATCAGGTGATTCGTCTGCTCGTTTACCGGACTATACCATAAAATCTAAATACTATACAATTGAAAAGGATTTCTTTAAAAACGACAGTTAAAATAAATAGAATAACCTTTTATTACTAAGGTTCATCATCATCATCGGTCTATAAGTGTTCTTTGTTAAGCAAAACCTCTTCACACGGAGAAGGTTTGAGCATTAATCACCACAACCTACCAACGGCAAGTACCAATGTGACTTTTTCCGAGTTATATGTACTTTCTAAGATTATCTAGACACCACTGACAAACGGTGAAGGAAAACAACTTGAGGAAACCTGGGCTTATAATTTCTGATTATAAACTTAAAATCGCCAACCCGCATTGAGCGAGCGTGGTGATTAATGCTCAAACCTTCTCCGTGTGAAAAGAGGCTTTTGATCAGCAGTGGGCATTTATAGGTTGTTGATATAATGTGATGTGAGTGACGAATATACACTTTTCCATTTATAATTCTCATATATTTATTTAAAAATGTCTACTAATTATGTTTCTAAATAGTATTTGACAAAAAAAAAGCGGGAGTATGGTCCAAGCTACCGGTGGTTAGGGCTCCAGAGCCAGAAACCTCACGATACATGCCGTTTCTAGGAGAACTGCCTTCTATATCAGGCCCTTGATCCATCCACCTAACGCCAGCTTCCTAAGATGAATGTCGAGGCTTTTATGGAATGAATAATATAAGTAGTAGTCTGGCCATACCCTGCGTCTGCATGGCGTGCGGCGGCTTGAGCAAGTGTTGGTCCTTGACGCTGAAGTAGCGCGGCGGAATGAATGATATAATGAGTAGTAGTCTGGCCATACCCTGCGTCTGCATGGCGTGCGGCGGCTTGAGCAAGTGTTGGTCCTTGACGCTGAAGTAGCGCGGCGGAATGAATGATATAATGAGTAGTAGTCTGGCCATACCCTGCGTCTGCATGGCGTGCGGCGGCTTGAGCAAGTGTTGGTCCTTGACGCTGAAGTAGCGCGGCGGCTGGTGCTGGACGGCGGGCAGCTTGGCGGCCAGGTTGGTATTGGGCAGCAGGGACACGTTCGGGGACGCTTGTTGCTGCAGACGATACAATAACATAGTTATCTCCAAGTCAATTTGGTAGTAATCAGTAAAAGTAAGTCTGACACTCCCTCCCGCCTCATCCAGGCGGAAGAAGTCATTAGATGATTTTTTCCCACTTAGGGGACGTCCATAAATTACGTGAGATGTTTAAGGGGGGAGGGGGTAGACTCAAATCTCATCTTGGATCTCAATCTTACGTTGGATAGAGGGGGGGAGTCTCGGGAAATATTACGTAATTTTTTTTCTGATTGAAACAAAGAAGATATATAGGGGTCGCAATACCGAATCATTTGACCAAAACCGGTATTTTCGGTATTGGCCCCAGACCAATACCGATATCCCGGTATTTTCGATATTTCCGGGATTAACCTAAGTTAGCAAATTTAGTATAATAAAGTTAGTTTACGGAGGAATAGTAAGTAGGTACCTAACCTAAATGAATTCATCTTCTAAATAAAACAAAATTTTCATTGATACAAGGTTTATTATTGTTGGCAATCACCCAGTTAGTTAGTACTTAGCAATAATTTACTAATGTTCCGTTTATTCCTTTATTACATACAATAACTACACAATAACAGTTACCTCAACTAGTTCAAATACTTTAATTAAATGTAGTTGACTAGGAAGTAGGATTCCTACTAGAAATCAGTTCTAAAAATAAAATGTTTATCAAACTGAAACATCTCACAACAGTCTCAACATAAACAAAACGAACCCAAAAATACACTTGTAATTAACTCTCATAAAACATAAAATTAATAAAATATTCTCATAAAACATAAAATTAACTCTTAGTATGGTTTACTAATCATGAAATAATATTCTGATTACCAAAATAACAAAAATTCTTAAATTAAATTCAGTGTTTTTTAATTATTTTACTAAAACCAAAAATACCGAATATCCCGGTTTTTGTGAAATGACTACCGGTATTAATTAGACCTAAATTTGGCCCGGTATTCCGGTATTTTCGAAATTCGGTATCCCGGTTTGCGACCCCTAAAGATATACTATTTTTACCGACTTCATAGTTAATTTATTCCAGATTGTATCATGCTTAAGATTTAATTGTACATGCACCATGGATTTTTTTCATTTTGCAATAACAATCCAACGTGTTTACGTGAAAAACCAACATATTTAAAAATCTCCCGTGAGATATGGGGATGGGGGAGGGTGTTGAATAAAATCTCACGAAATCTCACCAATGAGGGTGGGAGGGACAGACAATTAAAAAAAAACAAGGACGCCCCCTTAAAAGAAAGGTCAATTTAAGTCGCTGAACCAATCTAAATACAAAATAAAAACGAAATATCACAATTATTATATAAAAAAAATATTTATAAACTTACATTGAAATGCGCAGACACATATAACGGCGAGGGTCGTAGATCTGCTGACGCTGCTCCGCATACACCCAGCTCTCCACCCTGCCAATAAATAAACGTCAAATTTAAAATAACATACATGTTTCGAGGATGTCCGACTAATTTCAAGTCAAACTGGGGCTTAAATCATAATTAAATGAAGAGTTTTTGAGGATCACTGATTATTTTTGAGCTAGGTATATTGGGACCTTTAGTCATGTACTAAGTATAAGTATGTGTCGTAACAAAATTATGGGAATGTTTTTTTTAAAGTCTTGTATTTTTCATTCGTCATAGAAGAAAAACGAGAAAAATAAATATTTTTAATTTTTAACTTATTGCGTCGTTGGCAGAGTGGTCGCAAGTGCGACTGCAGGGCAAGGGGTCTCGGGTTCAATTTCCGGGTAGGGCAAAGTATTACTGGACTTTTAGAAAAATCTCAGTAGTAACACGGAGTCTGGAATTGTGCCCGGTATATGGCAAAAGGCTCACCCCCTATTACATGGGATTCATAACATAAATGAAAAGTGGGTGTTACATTGTACAGTGGCATTATGTAGCGTAATGTGTACCTCTGCCTACCGCTTCGGAGATAAAAGGCGTGATGTTATGTAAATTTACCGGTAGTATATTAGTTAGTAACTGTACCTGTGTGTGTCGGCAGTCCCCCGGGCCCACTGTGTGCCTCCTAGTGGCGTGGGTCTCCGTGGGGGACGTCTGTACGGGGGGCGCTGGGGGCTCGTCTACTACTGGGGCTGTCGTGGAACCGAACTGTAACAAAAACCGATTAAATTAAATTCTCTATTTGTACTCTGTGAGATATATTACGACCATCCGAATATACGGCCACAATATTTGCCTTGGTTTCAATACTAATGTAGTGTATGTGAGTGAAAGAGAGGGAAGCATTATGTCATCTCTGGCGCGCGTGCGACCGTTAACAATCTAGTCGGCTGTGAACGGAGTGAGGGGGCGCGCGTGGCTCAGAGCCGACAATATTGAACGATATACCACAACTAATATTAACCTGCATAATGTATACAAAAGAATAAAATCACAATAACAAGATAACAGAAACACTGGTAGCTATGTTCACCAATCAATAACAGCGAATATCGGAATAATTTATGTGACTAGTAAATTAGTTAAATATGAGGGTGGATTTAAAGCGTCACTGTCTCGTTGGCCGAGTGGTTGCAAGTGCGACTGCCGGTCAAGGGGTTTCGGGTTCGATTCCCGGGTCGGGCGAAGTACTACTGAGTTTTTATAAATTCTCAGTAGTAGCACGGAGTGTGGAATTGTGCCCGGTATATGGCAATAGGCTCACCCCCTATTACATGGTACTCATAACATAAATAATGACATAAACAGTTACATTGTACAGTGGCATAATGTACACCTCTGCCTACCCCTTCGGGGATAAAAGGCGTGATGTTATGTTATATGGATTTAAAGCGAACTTGTCACTTTGTTTCAAATCTACCGTCATGGTGGTGCAAAGCCTACCAACGGCAAGTACCAATGTGACTTTTTCCGAGTTATATGTACTTTCTAAGATTATCTAGACACCACTGACAAACGGTGAAGGAAAACATCGTGAGGAAACCTGGACTTATAATTTCTAATTATAAGTTTGAAATCGCCAACTCGCAATGAACAAGCGTGGTGGTTAATGCTCAAACCTTCTCCGTGTGAGAAGAGGCCTTTGGTCAGCAGTGGGCATTTAAAGGCTGTTGATGATGATGATTGCTTTATCTCACTCACTTTCTCCAAGTTATCAGGCTGGTCAGTCAAGTAGTCGACTGGTTCACACGGGACTGTCACTAGACAGTCCTGCACTGTTGATTCTTCTGCGTCCATCTGCTCTTCTTCTACGTTCTAGAAGGAGATAGAATTGATTGATTGTATTGTATTGGGTATACTCATTGAACAGTGTATCAATGTATTAGTGTAGTTGTGTCACATAAATTTTGTCGTTTTGAAATCAGTATTTTAGCAATAATTAATTTTAATTCAACTTAAGAAATGTGTTTCTTTTTCTCTTTTTGTACTACTTGTGTTATTAGTTTTAAGCTTTGATTCACACACAATGTGAATTGTTTTTGAAATAAAGAAAAAAAAGAAGAGCGTTAGACTTGTGATGGTATATACAAATATCGTTTTTGTTCTACAATGTGTTGTTTTAAAAAAGCGTCATTTTCTAGGAGGTAACTCGGCTATCAATTCTGAGTCCGAATCAATAAAAAAATTGTAGGTAAATTTCATTTTTCTATAAAAAAGGCTAACTTAAACGATTTATTATAGCCGTATTTTTAACTATTGGCCCGAAACTTTCTCTTACATTGAACCTTTATGACTTCTGTGACATGCCCCCGAGAAATGCCACGGTTTCAAAACTACTAAATAGTAGATACTGATTTTGTCTAATCATTATCATTCCCATGCTCATAACATAGCTGGTGAAAAACTGGTGTTACACTGTATATGTGCACCTCTGTCAATGGTTTAGTTATCCCTAAAATGGGCGGGATCGCGCGACGATTTCTGGCCACCGTAAGCGCGGGCCTGCGGCCGGTGAGCATGGGTGTGGGCGCGTCGCATTCCGCGCGCGACACAAGGAGCCATCAGACCACCGCGGGTGGGGCCCAATAGGGCTGATGCCGATACGGAGTCGCGGAGGACTTAACGGGTAACCGGGGCTCCGGCTCGACGTGCAGGAGAAGGAACGGGGTGGTTTTTAGTCAGTAAGAGTCTGACACTCTCTCCCGCCTCACCAAGGCGGGAGAAGTCATTCGATGATTGTCCCCCCCTTAAAAAACCCCTGAAATGAGTAGACCTTTTCAGGGATAAATAAAAAATTCATGTTTATTGTTTTTAACTTACCTTACAGCTAGTGAGATCCAAAGGTTGTCCAGTCGTTGAATCCAATGAATCTAGAATACAAACATTATTTATGTATATACTTATGCAATTTTACTCAAATTGGTGTTTAACGTAGTTAGAAATGACATTCATTTCGGAAAACATTTTTATTGTAGTTGTAGAATATAAAATAGTTACCTTACACTACAAAACAAAATTACAAACATATGTGAATAATTTTATATACTTAATGATCAAGACCATTTACTCAATGTGGTGATTAATAACTTTAACATCGACGGTTGAAAAGCTAATTGACCTAAGCGATATTTTTTTTTGTGATATTGTTAAACACCTAAATACATCACGACGAAGAAAAATTCGCTGTTTTCGAACATGTATTTAACTCATTATCGCTAAAAATGTCGCTTAGATCAATTAGCCTTTCAATCGTAGATATGGTACTTAGTGATTTACATGAGGTGGTGATTAGCGATGTTTACTCTATGTGACGGTTAACAACTTTAACTCGATGTGACTATTAGTATCATTTTACTTAAAGTGGGGATTAAGATATTATTACCTCTATGCTGTAAGCTGTTTCTAGCGCTGGACCGCTGTTGTAGTTTGTCCATTAACAAGTGGTAGATGGCTGATATGTGGTCGAAACGATCTTCTTGTATTGCCTGTGTAAAATAATTATATTATATTAAAAATAAAAAAATTAATAAACTTGTAAAGTTTTTGAAATTATCTCCAAACTTGACAGGTCAGTTAGAGATATCAGTTTAAGGAATCAGGTTTATTAGCGAGTGCTTTTGCCTTAATTATTCGTGTTCGTCTCTGCCTAACCTCATGGGAGACAGGCGGGAGGTTATGAATTAATGAATACCTTCACTGTTAAAGCAAACCATTAGACGGCTTTCGACCCCCACAGGGAGAGTAGCAGTGGTGAAAAAGAATATTGTTCTTTATCATCAGCATACACTCATCGTAATGGTATAGCTTGCAAACGAACGGACGGATCACCTGATGGTAAGCAATTAGCGCCGCCTATGGCCTTAAAAATACACTTTTATAAGTATAGTGGTGATTAACTTACCTGTTCAATAAGTAGATGCGTGAGTCCGGGCAGAGTGAGCATATGTCGGCGTACAGTGTCTCGCTGCGCCGCGCTGTGCTGGGACTCTACACTGGCGCCGTCCGAGTGGCACGCACACGCGCCCAGACTTTCTTCTGTAAGTGGGATAAGTGGAGTGGTGATTAATGGTGGGGTGTAAGTGGTGATTAAGTACTCTATGTAAGTGGTAATGAAAATGTGGCGGTGAGTATAATGAAGATGATAATTAGAGATAAAGATGGATGATAAAATTAATGGATACTTAATGACTCGAGGAGTAGTGAAGATTATGACAAATACGACTAAATTGATAACATTCATACATTACAATAATTTAATTGTCTAATACTTTTTTTATTAATTTTGACATTCAAAATTTTACATTAATAGTAATCAAACAAAACACCCTTCCTCTCAAAGTTAAAGTCATAGCATTTATTTCAATTAAACCATAGTTGGGTACTTTTGAAACGTCAACAAATACAAAATAAATAATAGTCTGTCAGTCAGTCCGTCAGTGAAACTAGGTGAAGCTAGGTGCTCATTCCAAAAAGTAGATTCGAATGGAGAAGAACGAGCAAGAAACTCCATTCGTTACTCTTTTAAAAAAGTATGTTCTACAATGTCTATGATACATATTTCAATACTGTACGTACCTCTATATGTAAGAACAATGCAAAGACACGTTTGACGCATTATACTAATAACTTACTAAATTTTTTTTAAAAAATCTTAAAGTCTAACATGGTGCTCACATATGCACTGACAATCCATAGAATTAGTGCTTCTATACAAGAAAAAGGAAACTTTGTTTCAATAAAGAAATGCTCGATGCCATAAGGAAACTAGATTGTCTACATTAGAATTAAAGTGTTAAATTATGTATTAAATTACCTACTATTGGAATTTAGCTACTGACTACATTTGAGTATTGTCCAGTGGAGCCGAACCAACATGCTGCCAAGCATTCTTATCTTCAAGATAATCTGTCAGTGTGTAGTAAGCTTGATTACATAATTCTCCAACAATTTTAACTGTCGCTGTGCCCGACAGGGTCCATAATAGTTACTATTGTATTTTCTAACCACCTGTACGTGTACATTATGGATGCAATAATACATGATTACTTGAATGATTTATTAAGAAAGGTAGGATGACAAATAAAAAAAATGATGACAAAAATGATCAGTATCAACATAGATAAAATTTTGTACATAGTATTGAGTGATATGACAAAGCAGTATTCATGATAAACCTCTTGTCTCACAATATTTGAGACACAATAGAAAACACATCGTGTCTCGCGTATATCTGCGTTCCAACACTTTACAGGTTAATGATGGTGATCACAGGTGATGTAAAAGTGTGATCATGATAAAGGAAATACTGACGATGACGAATAATAAATGTGAACATGGAAGATTAGATATTTTGAAAGCAGTCACGTGTCATTATGATGATGATGAAATTTAATCAAACCAATAACGGTAAAATGGGGTGAATAGGGACAGAATAGGGGTGAATTGATACTATAAAAAAATTCCCAATATCTATTCACCCCTCTTCTCTCACTATTCACCTCTAGATCCCTATCTACCCCATTTTACGGTAACTAAAGAATTGTATTGTGAACCTGATTGAAAAAGAGTAACCTATGGAGTTTCTCGCTCGTTCTTCTCCATAGGAATCTACACTTTGGAATGAGCAAATAGCTTCACTTTTAATTTTTTTTGTTGCCAAAATGTGCCTTCCTGGTCTAATTGAAATAAATGATTTTGACTTTGATCCCTGCTTACCGTATATCCCAGGTCCAGGTCCAGGTTGATGGTCATGTCGATGCGCAGCGAGCCAGCGATGTCTAGCGACGGCGCGCAGTGACAGACGACGCTCCGGTTCCACTACTAGCATGTGACGGATTAAGTGCTCGCATTCTGGATGGAGAAATGTAATATTTATTTAGAATGTATGTGCAAGATAGTTATTTAAAGGAAAGCATAATTAATTTACAATAGTCAGGTACTAAAGTACATTTTCACTGTATGAAATGTAAAGTGGTTTTAATTTATAATTATAATACTCATGATGGTGATTTTAATAATATAAGCGTGGGAAAGTTATGCTTCGGCACGAATGCACTGGCTCGACCGAAGCGATACCACTTACAAGCAGAAAACCGTAGTAAAACACCGGTTACCGGAGGCTTAATTACCCCCCTGTTAAAACTCATCAATCCCCGAATTCCCAATAATCCTCAAATTCCTAATCCTCAAAATCCAATTGTAACACCTCTAGTGTTCAGCTGTCCATGGGCGACGCCGATTCCTTACCATCAGGTGATCCGTCAGCTGTTTACTGGTTTATCCCATACAAAATACTCATAATGGTGATTATGAGTATTCTACTTGTATGAAGATATTGAGATCTAATTATTTAAAAAAAGTTTAAGTGCTCCTTGACGGTAAGTAAATTGTAATTAAGAGATGGTTTAGAGGTAAATGGTGGAAACGGCCATTAATATAACACATAACATAACATCCGTGCTACTACTGAGAATGTTAATAAAAAAAAACCCAGTAATACTTTGCTTGACCCGGGAATCGAACCCAAGACCCCTTGCTCAGCAGTCGCACTAGCGACCACTCGGCCACTCGCCGGCAACGGCCATTAATGTTCCAAATGAAGTGATAAGCCGCGTGCACTGACCCTGCGACATGAAGTAAGGTATCCGGAACTTCCCGCTGAGCACGACGCTGCGCAGCTCGTGCAGCGTGCTGCCGTCGAAGGGCAGCGCGCCGCACACCAGCACGTACAGCACCACGCCCAGCGACTGACACACATACACTTCATCAGTATGTTCCCCGTGGTACATAGCCCACCCACACGCACGAAGCGGGTCGCGGAGAACCTAACGGGTAACCGGGGCTCCGGCTCGACGTGCAGGAGAAGGAACGGGGTGGTTTTTAGTCAGTAAGAGTCTGACACTCCCTCCCGCCTCACCCAGGCGGGAGCAGTCATTCGATGATTTTCCCCCCTGGAATTCTTTGCCAGAGTCTGTGTTTCCTGAAGGGTATAACCTGGTTGTCTTCAAGGCCCGAGTGAATAGGTTGCTTATGGGACGACGAATCGATCGTAGAACGCATCATCGTGCACCACCAGGCGAGATAGTAGGAGAACGTCGACCCATTAAAATGTATAAAAAAATCTCGACTAGTTTCAAGCCATGCTTTTTTTTTAAGAGGGGAATAACATCGAATGACTTTTCTCGCTTGGGTGAAGCGTGAGGGAATGTCAGACTCTTACTAACACTATTTCTTACAGGTGTAATAACTGAGCTCAACCCAAAATCTTTGGCAATCAGTTTCTCAGTCGACGTAGCACCTTCAAAACTGTGATTTAACTAAAATCTCCAAGTAAGTTAGGAGTCCATTGAACTATGAAAGGGATGAAACGACGCCTTCGTGTACAATAATTATAATTATAAGTTTTGTTATTGTATATCTATTAATTTATTGATGTACTAGCTTTTACCCGCGGATTCGCTCGCGTCACAAAAGGATAAAAAGTAGCCTATGTGACATATACCAATACACACAAGCCATCTATACCAATAATTTCGTTTTCCCTCAAAAATATCATTTTTTTCCGGGATAAAAAGTACACTATTATTTTATCCAGACAACTAACTTTACGTATGCAAAAATTCAAAGCAATCGGTTTAGTAGTTACGGCGTGAAAGTGGAACAAACAAACAAACGAACTCACTTTACGATTTATAATATTAAGTAAGGATTATTTTTTTAGTATCTGTTCCACTTATTTATTTGTGTACTATATTTTATATGGGCCACAGTTGCCTGAATGTAGGAACAATAAAATTAAACAACAATTTGCCCCCTTAAAGACCCATTAACTCGTGTCCAACTCACCCATATATCGGCTTTAGGTCCATCATACTGCCTCCCCTCGAAGAGTTCGGGCGCCGCGTACGGTGGACTGCCGCACCACGTCGCTAGGGGCGACCCTGCTGTGTACTCGTTGCTGAACCCGAAGTCTGCTAACTGGGGGGAAAGAGGGGTTAAATTAGGTACCGTACTTAGAATTGCCATTATTACATACATAACATCACACCTTTTATCCCCGAAGGGGTAGGCAGAGGTGCACATTATACCACTGTACAATGTTACACCCACTATTCACTATTTATGTTATGAGTCCCATGTAATAGGGGGTGAGCCTATTGCCATATACCGGGCACAATTCCAGACTCCATGCTACTACTGAGAATATTTTAAAAAACCCAGTAATGCTTTGCCCGACCCCGGAATCGAATCCGAGACCCCTTACCCGGCAGTCGCACTTACGACCACTCGGCCAACGAGGCAGTCATTATCATCAGTATAAATAAAATAACGTAACGATGGAGTTCCTTGCTCGTTCTTCTCCATTCGAACCTACACTTTGGAACGACTTACTATTAATACAGGGCACAATTGCAAATTTTGACTAATTATGAGATATTTTCAAAAATCGTAATAACATATGGTAATGAGAATGAGAATTGCCCGATCTGAGAATCGAACCCAAAAGTCTCAAAACCACTTACATGCGCACTTGCTCCCATTCGACTAACCTCAATGATCTAAGATTCACTTTTTTTGTAAGAAAAACCATGTCTCACACTTTGATTTACTCCTGTGTACGTTTACAAACATACAAGTTCACATACACATCACACACAGACAACTACAATCTATGGATCACACAAAGAGTTGCTCTGTGCGGGAATCGAACTCGCTACACGTTACGCGGCAGCCGGTTGCCCAGCCACCGCGCCAACCGTGCAGTCAATTAATTAGTGACATCCGAGAGATTTTCGATATTATTTTGTTAACTACAAAGCGATTATTTTCAATCCATTTCTATATTTCCACATAAAGTCAAAGTCAAAATCATTTATTTCAATTAGGCCAGAATGGCACTTTTGAACGTCAACAAAAAAAATTAAAAGTGAAGCTATTTGCTGATTCCAAGGTGTAGATTCCTATGGAGAAGAATGAGCAAGAAACTCCATAGGTTACTCTTTTTCAATCAGGCTCACAATACAATTCTCTAGTTACATAGTTTTGCTGTTTGGATTGTGCGAGAACAATGTATCACTAAAATCTAGTCAAATTGATCAAAAAAGAAAATAACCTTAAGGACAATATTATGAAGAAAATAACCTTAAGGACAATATTATGAAGAAAATAACCTTAAGGACAATATTATGAAGAAAATAACCTTAAAGACAATATTATGAAGAAAATAACTTCAAGGATAAAGACTAACTTACCTTAATATTCATATCCTTATCCAGCAGTAAGTTCTCGGCTTTGAGGTCTCTGTGAACGACTCCGTTAGCGTGGCAATATCCCACGGCGGCGACCATCTGGGCGAAGGCGCGCGCCGCCTCCGGCTCCGTCATACGACCCCGGGATACTAAGTGGTCTGGAAAAATTGAGATAGGATTAAAATAACAGACCATCACGCCTATTATCCCCGAAGGGATAGGCAGGCCACTTAATGCCACTAAATTAAGTAAATTCGCGGGTTACTCACGTGAATATACTGAGAAAAGCTCTACTAGTTTCGAACCATAGAGAGCTGCGCGACGTCGCCGCGACCTTGCACGCTGCTCATGAGGAAGACCCCCTCTGTGGTTCGAAACTAGTAGAGCTTTTCTCAGTATATTCACGTGAGTAACCCGCGAATTTACTTAATTTAGTATCTCACGATAGTTTTTTATAAAAACTTAATGCCACTGTACAATGTAACACCCACTTTTCACTATTTATGTTATGAGTCCCATGTAATAGGGGGTGAGCCAATTGCGATATACCGGGCACAATTCCAGACTCCGTGCTACCACTGACATTTTTTTTAAAACCCCAGTAATACTTTTCCCGACCCGGCATTCGAACCCTAGACCCCTTGTCCGGCAGTCGCACTTTCGTCCACTCCGCCAACGAGGCAGGCTAATGAAGATAATAAGGAATAATTTAATAATAATAATATAAAATAAACTCACCAAATATTTCCCCATTAGGCGCGTATTCTGTGACTAAGTATATCGTATGAGTGCTCTCCATAACCTGCAATATTATACATACATATTACCCTATATACACATACATAGGAAACTAAGGCCGCCATGACCCATAACACAGGGTATGAGGGGCAGCTTGACCCATAGTGTAAGATTATTAGGGGCTGTCTGACCCGTACAGGACATTAGGCGCATGTTGACTATATATATATATATATATTTTTTTTTAAGACGTTGCCCCACACTAGGATTTTCTCCTGTATCGTGGGTGCGTTTACAAACATACAAGTTCACATAGACATCACACCCAGCCCCGAAACAACAATTTGTGGATCACACAAAGTGTTGTTCCGTGCGGGAATCGAACCCGCGACACGTTGCACGGCAGCCGGTTGCCCAGCCACCGCACCAACCGTGCAGTCGAACTATAACTCACAAGTACAGAGGTACTTAGTACATACAAGTAAAAAAAAATAATTGCAATGAATTCACTTATATGCTTTTTGGAAATATAGATTAGGTAGCCTATCAGTCTGACTGTCGGTGACCGGGAATCGAACCCCAGACCCATTTCAACATCTTTACTAATATTATAAATCGGAAAGTGAGTTAGTTTGTTTGTTTGTTTGTTCCGCTTTTACGCCGTAACTACTAAACCGATTGCTTTGAATTATTGTAGACGTAAAGTTAGAAGTCCGGATTAAATAATAGGGTGCGTTTTATCCCGGAAAAGTTTGATATTCCCGAGGGAAAACAAAAGTATTGGTATAGATGGCGCTGTGTGTATTAGTACATGTCACATAGGCTACTTTTTATCCTTTTGTGACGCGAGCGAAGCCGCGGGTAAAAGCTAGTGGCTAAATAAACTATCCTGACTACAGTCGAGTAAACATCGACAGTCGACCTGTTAAAGGTCTGCGACAGTCGGTGTATGCAGGTCGCTACCAACCTCGCGATGTGTAGTCATTGGGGGAGGACTGTGGGGGGCAGGGGACGGTACGGGGCTGACATGTGCATTGGTATATTTGTTACTCAATCATGTCATAACTGCTGAAGGGATCAGAATGGAATTTGGAACAGAGGTAGATTATGGTTTGGCACAACACATAGGCTACTTTTAATCCCACGAGAACGCAAGAGAAGCCGGTAGCAGAAGCTAGTAGCAATAGATCTTATATAGTCTCACCTGATATAACCTTACTATATGTGGGTGTCGTAGTCTCTTCATTATGGCTATTTCTCTGAATGTTTTCTTCAAGTTGTCCTCATCTAACCTCGATTTGTCTATTATTTTTATTGCTACCTGAAATTAGACACAATAAATCCAATTAATCCTTAAAAATATTACAGTAAACCTCTCGCGCGCCTCTCGTACACACGGGTAAATATTTTAATAGAAAAGCGAATTAACTATTCTGTTCAATCAAATAAAGAACGGGTTGCAAACTTAAAAATATACGTCACAGAAAAAATATCCAATCGGTGCGCGTTTCTCGTACACCCGTGTGTACAATTGCGCGATGGGCACTCAACTCTCTCGTACACCCGTGTGTACGAGAAACACGCAAGAGGTTAAGTTGAAATACAGAAGCTAGCTCATGAAGCTCCATCAGACCACTACGCATGGTGCCCAATAGGTCTGATGCTCAATACGGAGCCGCGTAAGGCTTAACGGGTAGCCATGGCTCCAGCTCGAAAAGCAAGAGTAGGAACGGGGTGGTTTTTAGTCAGTAAGAGTCTGACATTCCCTCTCGCCTAACTCAAGGCGAAAGAAGTGATTTTCATCCATATAAAAAGAAACGAACTTCACTTTAATTCGATACAGCGGCAGCGGTTAGGTTTTAAAATTAAAGAAGAATGATAATACATATAGCAAAAAACGACAGACGAGTAGAAATAGGGTGGTATTTGTTTAGTCAATCTGACACTGACTGACCTCTCACTTCACCCGGGCGGGAGAAGTCATTGGATGATATCCCCTCAACAAAAAGCGGTAACGGCAGTTTCACATTAATTCTCATAATTTCGTGCAAAATATTACTTATATCAACTTCGGAAATCCCCAGAAAATATATTTCGACAAACATATTTATTTAGAATCCGTATTTAGCCAGTTCAAAGTGGTTTTTACTTGACTAAAGTCTGTCAAGGAAATATTTTTTAACGAATGCTGTAGTACACACGCAGCCGGGTAAAGATTAATTAAGATTTTTGTATGAAAATGGTTAATTGTTTATGAGAAGAAATCATAAACTAGGCAAGTACTACTAGTAGATTGAAACCTTCAATATCATGTCTGACTCGGGAACTGAAACCAGTAATTTTTAGAAACAATATATCTATAAGCTTTTTTATGGGATAAGCCGGTAAACGAGCAGACAGATCAGCTGATGGTAAGCAATCGGCGTCGCCCATGCACACCTGGTACACCAGAGGTGTTTCAACAAGTGCGTTATCGGCTTTTGGGTATTAGGAATTTGAGGATTGTTTGGGATTTGGGGATTGGGAAGATTGGGAGTAATAGGGCTTCCAGTAACCTCACTCACACGACGAAACACAACGCAAGCGTTATTTCACGTCGGTGTTCTTCTCGGTCGTGGTATCACTCCGGTCGAGCCGGCCCATTCGTACCGAAGCATGGCTCTCCTACAGTTCGCATTGTATTCTTTTATTGTGCGTTATATAATATCGTTATCAGCAAGATTAGGTCTATCCGACTGTTATCACGGGCCCCTTATCGCAATAGTTACGGAGATCGCAATTCACTATAGGACATACAATACCTAGTATTTGTCAGTTTTTGGTCTAGAAAGACTAAGAATTTAAGCCCTGATGGGCAGGGTTAGACACATGTACTTACAATGTAACACTCACTTTTCACTATTTATGTTATGTGTCCCATGTACCTAATAGGAGGTGAGTCTATCTACGTCAGATTCCATGTTTTTATTTAGGTACAGAGAAAAGGAAGGAAACCTTACTCAAGGGGTCTCGGGTCCGATTACAGGGTCGTGCAAAGTTTACTGGGTTTTTAAAAAAAATCTAAGTAGTAGCACGGAGTCTGGAACTGTGCCCGGTATATAGCAATAGGTTCACCCCCTATTACATGGGACTCATAACATTAATAGTGAAAAGTGGGTGTTACATTGTAGAGGTACAGTGGCATAATGTGCACCTCTGCCTACCCCTTCGAGGATAAAAGGCGTGATGTTATGTTATGTAAAAAAGGAAACCTTACTCAAGGGGTCTCGGGTCCGATTCCCGGGTCGTGCAAAGTTTACTGGGTTTTTTCAAAAAATTTAAGTAGTAACACAGAGTCTGGAACTATGCCCGGTATATAGCAATAGGCTCACGCCTATTACATGAGACTCATAACAAAAATAGTGAACAGTAGGAGTTACATTGTACAGTGGCATAATGTGCACCTCTGCCTACCCCTTCGAGGATAAAAGGCGTGATGTTATGTTATATAAAAAAAGAAACCATACTCAAGGGGTCTCCGGTCCGATTCCCGGGTCGTGCAAAATTTACTGGGTTTTTTCAAAATATCTAAGTAGCAGCACGGAGTTTAAAACTGTGCCCTGTATCTGGCAATAGGCTCACCCCCTATTACATGAGACTCATAACATAAATAGTGAACAGTGGGAGTTACATTGTACAGTGGCATTAAGTGTCGTAATGCTACCTCTTCGGGGATAAAAGACGAGATGTTATGTTATGTCATACATACATACAGGTCAAAATGAGAACCTTCTCTTTTGGAAGTCGGTTAAAAAGAGAACCTAAGAAATAACTAGTTATACCTATATATACTCTTAACACGGTGGCTGATGTCGTAGACATATTTAACTGTACACTGAGCGAGTTCACAAGGACCACTTATTCTATAGTGTGTAAGGAAATATAGTTTGCAGTTACAATTTTAATAAGTTTATAGTTAAATATAGTTCATAGTTAATAGTTTAGGAAACATATTTTAAGTTTCTATGTCGAATTAGGTTAAGTTATCTGTAATGGCAAAGTATTGTATTAAATAAATAAATAAAACCTATTTCAGGGTTTTCAGCTACTGAAAAGAACCTTGAACTTACATGACTGCGTGACTTTTTACATAATAATATAATATTGAATATACTTTAGCATATAACTACTATGTGCTCGTTGTTATGGGGCTTAGGTACGATTCCTAGTTCAGGTTAGAGGTCATTGACCTTTTTGTGCGTGTGAATTCTGTCTGTAATATATTTTTAATTTTTACCACCTTCGCTCTACCCGTGGGGTATTATAAAAGCCGACTAAGAGACCCGTAATACAAATAGGAAATGATATTTGTTATTATTATCATCATAAAGGACTAACGATAGTAACGATCCACTGCTGGACTATGATAGTCATCCTCTTCGTAACAGTTTGCGATAGTCAATTGATGGGGCAAGTCCGCCACAACCTCCCAAAACCGCTGCAACTCCTGGTAAGCCAGGATGTACAGTAGATACACACACAGAGACAGGACAGGCAGACGGTGGATAACGACTTTGTTTTATACTATGTAGTGATGATATAGTTAATATATAACTACACCATATTTTTAAAGAAATTACCCATAGGTTAGTTCATTTTTCACGTGACCAGAAGGCATGGCCAGTATTTGAATCATAAAGTAAGCATTAGCCTACAATGACATGAACGAAATGACATTTATTTCCGGTATACCTTTTTTGGGACAAGTTCGCCACAACCTCCCAAAACCGCTGCAACTCCCGATAAGCCAGGGTCTACAGAAGATACAACCATGAAAACACCGGAACACTGAAGTCCAACGTCCCAGGGACATGAATAACTGTCTTGGATTCCGCAACGAAGTGAATCAGAAGATATTATAAGAAAGAAAAACCCTCGGTGAATTAAGGCAGGAGACAGGATGAATTAAGCCTAAAGATACAAAAAGAGACTGTACACACGGCCACACAATCTATACAAAACCAGTTTACCCTGGTGTCGCGTCGCATCATCTTTCCGCACATTTAACGTTCAGTTTATACTGGTTAAGTAAAGCTCCATGTGTAGCCATGTGTACAACTGTAAGAAGCCCAGTCGCCAAGCACCATAGCAATTTGACTAAAAACTAAGTGGGTCCTATGTGTGAGCTGTTATACTTGCTTCCAATAATAGATTTGCGATCGTCTCTAGACTCCACGCTTGATTTATGCTGTTTAAATGGTTCAAGTTTATCAGAGAGCGCTGCTGCCCGGTCTCTGTCTAATGTGTAGTCTCTTAGTCGGGTATACGACACCCACGGGAAGAATAGCGGTGACAAATGTTACAAAATACTGTAAACCATAGATTGTGTGAGGAAATAATTCTGATAATTATACAATACACTTTGTTTTTATAATAATATAGTGAGACATACTACAGCCTACGGTAGACTGCGTGACATATTCGCGACCGCCCACGCTGCTCATGAGGAAGAGCCCCTCTGTGGTTCGAAACTAGTAAAGCTTTTCTCAGTATATTCACGTGAGTAACCCGCGATTTATAGTTGATACACTGTTCTCTTGTTTCTGTCAACCTAGGCATGGAACACGAGTCCACACACCCATCGAAGTAATTACACACGTGATGTGCCAAAATATCGCATTACAATTTACAAATTATTGTCGTGAATTAACTGGAAACGAAAAATTAGGCACCTACATAATGTGAATTAGGTTTTTGAATTTCAAAAAAATAACAAGTTTAGTCTAGGGTCAATGACACGAAATCAGGGCACACGACCTATGTATGACAATTGGCTTAGTCCTATTTACCTCCTTTATTTAGGGTTACACAATAGCAATTTCTTCTTTTCATGATAAACAAGCATACGGATCATTCTGATGGTAAGCAATTAGCTTCGCCCAAGGACACTCGTAACACTAGAGGAGTTACTAGTAGGTTGCCGATATTTTGGGGTTCAGGGATTAAGTAAGACTGAGGAGAAGAGGATTGAGTTTCCGGTAACCTTACTCACACAGCAAAATACAACGCTGTGGTTGGGGTTCTGCTCGGCCGTGGTATCACTCCGGTCGAGCCGGCCCATTAGTGCCGAAGCACGGCTCTCCCTTTTGTGTGTCTCAAGTTTGTGTGCCGCCAAAAGCCAAGCGCCTTTTCAGTCTTTCCCACAAAAAATTTGATGATTGGAACTGACTGTAACGCATTGTTCCCACTATGCTAATATTTTAGTATACTAGTTAGTATTTAGTAGCTCTCTTTCTTTGAAGCTAGAGAGAGTACTACCACAGAATAATCTACTACTCGATT